TGTACCTTGTTCACATCCACAGCGTTAAACAAAAAATGTGTGGCAAACTAAACAGAACCAAAAGTCAAACGAAGATCAACGCGTTTTTTTCTAGCAGCGTTTAAACGGATTTTTTCTCTAATATTAAAGAAAACAGAAGAAAACGCCAGTGTTTTTTTTTTGTTCCTAATCGTTTTTAAAAAGATCACGTTTTTTCCAGTTTTTTCTATAAAATGAACGCGTTTTTCACCGTTTTTTTAAAAAAAATATAAATTTCGCGTTTTGTTGAGACTACTCTTGTAGAAAATTTGGCAATGGGTATGAAAGCATTAGGACTCGAAAAGGGAAAGTCATCAAACAATTTTTCTCCGAAATTTGTTTATTGGTTAAAGCAGAATGTTGTTGTGAGAAAAATAGTGGATATTGATGTTTTCTGTTGTATAACTACAAATAAACCAGTTTGTGTATGTGAAAGTTTTTTTAATATTATCGGGGAATGTCATACTACAGTTGCACATGGAGGAAGAGACAAAATCCTAGCCGAAATTACAGCGAATTATTCTTGGATTCCACATATTGTGAAAATTTTTCTCAAACATTGTTCTGCTTGTCAATTACGAAAAACAGTCAAGCAATCAGTTGTATCAAAACCAATTATATCCCTAGATGTTATGGTTAAAGGTTACAAATCGATCTCATTGACATGAGAACACGTCCGGATGTTGTGTCAGCTGATGTTACGTGGATATTGAATTGTGTCGACCACTTTTCGAAATTTAGTTGGGCGTATCCGTTGAGAAGTAAATCCACTAATGAAGTTGCTCATCGTTTAAAAGAGTTGTTTTTCGTTTTCGGTCCTCCACGTTTACTGCATTCGGACAATGGTACTGAACTTGTTGCTACGGTTATCGTTGAATTAAAACAGTTGTTTCCAGAAATGACACTTGTGCGAGGTCGTCCGCGTCATCCTCAATCTCAGGGTTGTGTTGAGCGCGCGAATGGAGTTTTGACGTCTGCATTAGGTAAATGGTTATCGGTGACCCTAGTCGACCGATCTTACGGCAATTCTTCGTTTCAGATAAAGATTATAACAAGATCAAAGCATTGTCTGCTCGCATTCAAATTTGATTGTACTATGTTCTCGAAGAAAAGTCCGAGTAAAACATAGTGCAATCGTAGATAATAAACGGGAACTGGAAAAATGTGGAACTAGTACGTACCGGTACAACATAGCATGTCGTCCGCACTAGTAGTGCCGGCCTTTTTCAGTACTGTACTGGGAGTTTTCGGTCGATCATGTTTCTCATAAGAATCTTACAAGAATAACGTACGAGTTTTGCTGACTCTTATCAATTTCTTATGAATTCTTGTGAGATTCTTATAAGATTCAGCAGAATTCTTGTCACTTTCGTGGAAGATCTTATATAAGAATTGTGTAAGATTCTTATAAGATTTCACAAATATTTTTTGTCTAGCGTGTACTTGAGACCAAGTACTCAGAAAGGTAGTTGGATAAGTAATGTCCAGAGTTCCTGGAGTTTTTTGCAAGTAAAAAAGGTACTTATCAAGTAGTTTAACAAATATAAGTACTAGATAAGTACTTCACAGGGCCGTAGCCAGAAATTTGGTAAGGGTTGGGCATCTACAAAAAAGTTCCATCTTTACTAGTCTGAATTTCCATGTTAAAGCTAGGTTGAGCACTTTTTCTAGCGTTTTATCTCCATACGGCATTTATCATCTATAAATTTAGTGTATATTATACATTGAAGTAAAATCTTAAGAGGTGGTCACGTGCCCTGTTTGCCTACCCCCTGGCTACGGCCCTGGTACTTCATCAGGTATTTGGCAGGTAACTTGGTAAGTACTTGCGAAATATATGCAAGTATCGGAAGATCTTTCAAGTACGTGGCACATATTAAGTCTGCGTTAAAATCATTAAGTTTAAAAATGCTTGACAAGTGTTTAACCACGTGCTTTAGAAAATTTGCAAGCAGCTAAGTACTTGATTTCCAGTGCATTCACTAGGGAAAGCCCGAAATGTTTATTGTCAGCTCAAAGCTACAGAAATAAGAAATTAATTTAAGGTTTTTCTTGTAAATTCTATAACTTTGCAAAGAAAGGTCATGTAGAAATGGGTGATGTCTCATTTTAATCAGAAATTTGCGGGCTACAATCATGCTTGGGTTATTTTTTAGAGTTCTTGAAAAACTGGTTTTTTAGTAAATCGGGTCTTCAAGAGTGATGAGTACGAATCTTTTTAGGGTATGTACTACCACACTGAGGTCTAGCGACCCATGTACAAATCACCGGAATCGGAAGGAGACATTTCGAAAGGTTCCCTCGTAAGACCAGTTTATTTTTGCTGGTATAATAGCTGTTCCCTTGCGTGAAAACTATGGACAACACATATACTTTTAAAGACATAATGGAATTGATTAAAACTTTGTTTGGAAGTGTTTACTGAAGGTTGAACCATTATACTCGACGTTCGAACATAAATGCTGTTAATATTTTTCTTCTTTTCTCGCAGAATGCCGTGGCTACACGAAGAAAAGTAGAACAAAAATGTTACTGTTTTAAAAAGAAATTCAACAGAGCAATATTTTTCTCTTATTTTATTTATAAAACTTTTTCTCTTTCTTCTACACGTTTCACTTCAACGTGAATTTTTTTCGATGACGAATTAAAATAGAATTCTAAGCTGATAGCGAATAATTATCTTTTTACTCTTGTAATATATGTTTAGATTGATCGAATAGGTTCACCTTTCCTACATAGCTAAGTGATATTAGGGCCTAGTCAGTAGTATTTTGCAATTTTAACAAAAGGTTCAGAGTTTTTTTCTCTCATGCCTTATATCACAGTTGAAACGCGCTCAGTCCAAGAAAACCATACAATATAGATATATACAGATTTATCTTCTACAAAAAACTAACTATTCCTCCCGTTTTGTGTGTTGTAGTGTGAATGGGTTGTCAGCCAACTAAAATCAATGATACAGCTCAACAATCCACAATGATAAAACCGTTTAATACACATCAACTTGAAACTGAAGAATTTCAAAGAAGGACGGGCGACAGAATTCAGAAAAAGTCTGTTGAACTTGACGTTGATTACAATACCGAAGAATATTTGAGAGACGATCGATTTTTTTTTCCACAAAAACCAGTTAAATCCTTTCGTGATGAATTACATGGTAATTCACATTTTATCAAAGAATGGATGAAACGATATCCTAATATAAGTGTTCAAGATCAAACAGAACAAGCAGCAAGAGGAATACTATACGAAGCTGAATTACTCAATCAACAATTTGAAGGTGATTGGTTTTCCAAACAATTGCAACAAGTGAAAGACAAAGATCGAACAGATATTCTAAAATGTTGTATATCTCTCTATACAACAGAAGGTTTTCTCTATAAACTTATTAATAAAACGTTGAGAGATAACGATATGAGTAAACTGGATACATTAGGCGCATATTGTGATTTTCTTTATCAGTGTGATGCATCACGTGCATTTAGTATGAATAGTTATACGGGTTTGGTCTATCGTGGTGCCCATTTGGATTCACATATGATCAGTAATTATCAAGAAGCAGTCGGAACAGAGAAGGCGTGGGATGCTTTTACTTCTACAAGTAAAAATCGAACAAAAGCGGAGCGATTCGGCAATACTCTGTTTATTATCAATATCAAAAATTCCAAATATGTTCGTGGTCTTGATATATCCCCCTATTCTAAATACCCTACGGAGGAAGAGGTACTTATATCAGCAGCAAGAATATTTCATATTGATAAAATCGATTATGACGATACAACTATGAAACATTACATTTATCTTACGATCGATTAATGATTCATAATTAGCATCTTGACATGGTTCTTTTTCTTTGAAAAGTATGTTAACTTACAAAGAATTCTTTACACGTCCTCATCTATTGATAACAATATTTGCTGGTAGAATTCAAAACGTGTATAATATGGCTCCTAATCTAATACAAATAACAGTAAAGTTATTTTCTATTCTTTACTGTACACCATTACTCCTATTATCAAACATTCATGGACAATTGTCTATTTTTAATCAATATAGTCTATTTCTACGGTTAAACAAACATATCATAAATAGAAAGTGTATCATAGATCTTTGAACGATCACGAGTCGATCAAATGTACACCAGTGAATTCAAAAATAATTGAAAGCCGCAAACCTTCAACAAACAACGAGAAAATAACCGTAGATATGTGAATATATCAAAATATTTGAAATGTATGTAGAACTTACCACATTGAAAATAATTCTCCATTTGCTCTGATTATTTATCGATTATTTTTCATTGTTCAATGTAATGCGATAGAATGGTGTTTCAATTCAAACAATTTTTGAGTAATATTACTACGGAAATTGATATGGAATATAATGCAAAAAAAAGTCAGCATAATGTATGTTTATATTCGTCGTACGAGCAAAATTACTGCTTATTGTTGTAAACAATTATATAGGATTTGAAAATGGAAACTATTTGATTTGCGATCAGATTTTGTTCGAGATATTACGTTTTAATCAATGAGCGAGGGCTAATATGCGTTGTTTTTTTTCAAAGCAAACAATTACTATTTATTCTTGTTAAAAACTTCCTCCCTTCGTCTAATTCAAACAGAACTGACAGAAACAGTTGGTAAAATATAGATAATAAATATCACGAACAAAATCCTTTTCAACAAATAACTTTTTTTGATGTCAGTTTTTTACTTAAAACTTTTCCAATAATCACATCTTGTAGAGAAATCTTTAGGCTTATAAATTTTCAAGCATCATCTTTTTCTGATTATAAATTAAAACCAAATGTTTTGAATATGAGCCTTTTTTAAAGGTGAATTTTCAGCTTATGAGAGTATTTTGTAATCATTTTAGTTCAAAAGCGCATAGAAAACTGAACAAATTTCGGGCTTTGTGAAAATTTGAAAACAACTATCAAAGGCTTTTAAACAGTTTTCTAAAGGTTTATGGATAAGATCTAAATGACAAAATGTTTGTTATTTAGTCGTTTTAGAATTTTGTAAGCTTTTGTATAAAAAGTTTTCTTGGGATGTCACTTTAGTTATACCATAATGTGGGGTTTAGAAGAGTTCATGTAGAGTCATATAACAAATATAGTGTTATGTTTGTATACGTAGTATCAGTGTTTTACATATGAGTAAATGAAATTATCTGAGATGGTGCAGATGAGCTTTGATAATCATGCATAGTATTCGTTGATTATATTTCTACATTATTGCAGTTAAAGAGAAAATCCTTATAAAAATACAAAAAAATAACTTAATTTCTATACATCTTCTAAAAATCTTAGAAGATGTTCAACTCAACTATCTTACGTCATTAGAACTTTCAAAAAATCACCATTAAAGACTCTCAAAGGTTCGCTTTTAAACTGCAGTAGATTACTCTTAAATAATTATCATTCAAGCTTTCAAAAGATAACATATGACTATTTTTTTCTATTGTTCCACGAACTATTAATCAAAACTGAGTAGTTAACCCTTTACTTTTGACAGTTGATCATGCGAACGGAACTTGCAACTCATATATCTTTATTTAGACTTGATGAAAACAAATTTTCTTATTAACAACTGCTAGCTTGTGCTATCATCTTACATTAGAAGAATAAACATATTGTTATTTTGTGCTTCGTTTCTTTTTTTATAAAAATTATTATCATATATGGTAATGTCCTTTTGAAGAGACAGTCGGATGTAAAGGGTTAAAAAGATTAACTTGTTCGCACCGATCACTTGCTTTTCAAAACTAAAAGTTGGTCTGTGTGAAAGCCTTTTTCCAGCCTCTGCAAATTGAGGATATGAATGTCGTTCAATAGTTCGAGAAATGTGGACTATTATTTGATTGAAAAGAGCAAATAAAGAGCATTATAAAGGATTTCACAATCGAGAGATTTACTGATTTCCCAGTGGAAAAGTGAACAGGCAATACCCAAGCAAATAAAAAGTATCGAGTATTGGACAATCCTAAATAGGTAACCCAATTCAATACCCGATATACCTAGATACAAGTAAAAAGACAGTATTGAGTACTGGACAATCCCAGCTAGTTAACTCAATAAAGTAGTCGATATATTTAAATAATCCAATATCTTACCCAATTCTGGATATTAGATGTACCACATGCCCAAATAAGAAATCTTGTGAAGTATCTAGATATTTTGTGGTGGTATTAGGCAATCCTACTATAAAATATCTGGTACACATGTCACTTTTATTGGATTATCTAGATATATTGGGCGTGTTATTGTCTAATACCACAATAAATAATATCTAGATTTCATTTTCAGATAGATCATTTTCATATATGATTTTTTGCTTGGGTAGTCATAACTGCAGTAGACAGTGGTTATTCTATCCAACTGGTTTTCGTTTCATTTCTTCAGTGGCTAAAACTAGCAACTTCAAACTAGTCAAATATCAGTAACTTTTCATGGTAAATTTGTAAAGTGAATTGTTTAGAAGTGCTATATTTTCATTTTAGATTTAACATGAATCAAAAATCTGCTCAATATCTATCGATCTTTTTCTGAAGTTTTTACAAATTTTACTTGTCAATACTATCAAACTAGAATGGAAACAGAAGAAAGGAAGCAACTGAAACATTAGATATATGCGTTTAGGACGATGTTTCTAATTTTAACTATTCTTTGTTTAAAATAAAAATTATTATTCTATGCAGTAGATAATAAATCGTTTCCTTTTGACTTATCATTTGTTCTTAGACAAGGGGTGTGATATTGGAAAACGTGAAACAGTACAAACTTTTTTTTCTTCTATTCTTTCTCTATTTGTATTCCTTCTTCTAAGGAACTGACACTATTTTTTTTTCAGAATCAACCATCCTCCAATAATCTTACAACAATATTAACGCCAACGTTTTTCTTGCTATCAACAATAATAGTAGTGTATACAAAAGTGTTTTTAGAGATTTTTCCAAGAACTAAACAGATAGTTGGATCTATTACATACGTGCGTAGAGAAAAAGAAACGAAAAACTATCATTTATAAATTCTATTTTTTTTCTCTCATCATATAAAATATAGAACAGAACGGTAAAGAAATACGTTGCATCACAAAAAAATATAGACTATATAACTATTTATAACCATATATGAGAACAAAGTCAGTTAGATTCATTCTCATGTTTATGGGCTTTTTTTTTGCATTTCATTGAAAAGCATATGTTACACGTGTTGTGTATAAAAATAAAATAAAAGCGTAATATTATTGTTACTATTATAAAAAGAAAAAGTCATTCTTTGTTCAAAATACTGTTCAATTTAATTAAAGTACGTAAAAAACATTTTGTCTAGCCTGTCAAAAGTTGTTTATAGATCGAATCTATATACAAAGCGTTAACTTTTGATAATTTTTTGTAGGTTGTTTGAATAACAAGATTAAATGATCTAATCTAATAATATATATCTGATATTTCTGTTTAACACAATTTATTATAATTATTTTCTCGTTGTATACAATGTCCATTACAACTATTCAAGCTTTAAATGACGATGTTTTAAACTCTATTTTACGTAAAACTGCTTATGCTATAGCTGCCGGATTTGTGATTGGTGTTGCTACTTGGAGTGGTACGTCTTTGTCAATGTTCTCGTATTTTTGTTTTTACAAAAATTGTTAATATTTTCGTAGGTTATCGAGCTGCTTCAACACAAAAATATATTATTCCAAATCGACATCCAGAATCAAATGATCAAGTAAGAAATATTGAAAATTGTCAGTATTTCGGTACCATTAGTGTTTTTGAGCAGTATCAAAAATTTCGATTCGGTACCAGAGAAAGTACGAAAAAGTTCGATAATTACGAAAACAATTAAGGGACGAGAGTCTTCGTGATTTAAGGAGAAAGAAAAACTTTTAGTGAATTCAAAAATAGACGTAGATAATGAAGAAAACTTCGGTACTTTCAGTAGTAGTTCCAATGGTTGGTACTGGTATCAACAATTATCTAACTATGATAAACTTAGTAGTAAACCTTTTTAGTCGAGCTGGTTAGACGTTTTGAATTAAGTAGGACAATTAAATTTATCCTTGACATTAAAAGTTAATCGAGGACCTTTACGGACAAGACATTCATTTTTATTTTACAATAATAACAAAATACAGGTGTTTTCTTCTCTCAGCATTTTATTATCAGCGAAACTGAGCAAAGTCCAATTTCAAAAACTACGATTACTTTCCCTAGATGTTCAAACGGTAGTTATCCTTTCAAGTTTTTTTTTTCTCTTATCATTGCCCATAAATCTTTTTTCAAATGTACACACTTCAAATAAACTGAATTATCGAACGATAAATATAAAAAAAGTTAGAATGAACTATGAAAAAAAATGATCATTCTTCGTCTGCATGATCATATGTTGAACTTTTGTACATTTGATATGAGTATATGTGTGTGGAAAAAACGACAGTTGGTGATTAGAATAGAGTGACGCATGGACATTGAAATATTAAGTTCGTAGATCATTCGGTTAAAAGTTTGATAACACATTATTCAAGGTAAACTTTTGACACAAGATATATTATTATTGGTCAAAGTATAATCGTAAAAAGTTTTGATGACTCACTCTATTAAACATATGATCAAGTCTCTCACCGATGTTCGAGAATCATTATTTGAATCATTATTATCCTTTCAAATTTGAAAATTTTTTTTCGTAGATCAAAAAAAATTTTAACTTAAAAAAAGAAACCTTGATGATGTTTTTTTTAACTTTCATTTTACGAAGAGTTACTTTGAGGTATTGGCTCTTTTCTTGTTCTAAACGTGACATGGTATCTTCTAGATATTATTCGATATCTGCTGTAATGCCTTCTGACATACCACACGTTTTTTTTTTGTTTTGAGAAAAAGTATCTTTAGTACAACATAAATGATTTATCGAATTGTCGAGATATTAATGCATGTTTATCAGATAGAATCTTATCAAAAACAAAAAGAAAGCAAAGACTTGTGGAATGTAGAAAAAATTCAATTCTCAACAAAGAATATATCAAATAAACATATAGCCATAGAAAAGAATAATAAACCCCTTTAAAAAAGGGAATTGGTCGGTTACGATAGTCATTTTTCTTCATCATTCATGCGCAAAACAACAGAACTGTACGAACTACATTATGTAATCGACTCAAGGTTGTTTTCTCTTTCTTTCATTTATTAAGAGAGTAAATGATAAAAGGTACAAAAATTTGTAAAACGTTAAAAAAATATACGAATATTTCAGACGGGACAAAGATTGTTGATAGTAAAACTTTTCACTCATATTAAATACTACACTGTTCAAAGGACAATGGACTTTTGTTGATAAATTTTATAGTAAAGAAGAGTTTACATGAAAATGACTTGATAGTTTCAACAAACATTCGATATTTCATTGATATGGAGGGTTACGTTATTCCCTCTTCCCAAGTCCACTTTCTTGCTTCATTCACGTCGCGAACGCGGTAATCGCTCCGCGATCGCGTTAAAATCGCGCAATTCGTGCCGAAATCCCTAAGGAGTCGCTGTTGTCGCGGCGCGATCGCGATGAAGTCTTACTTTTCGAAAATTTGTAATTCGCGATCGTGAAGCGAGAATACCGACTTCTTAGCGATCGCTTCACGACTCCATGATCCAATCACTGTAAAAAAAAACTTGTCACGTCGCAATCGCATTTAATCGTGAGATGATACAACATCGCTGTGCGTCTCCCGTGAAAATTCTATTCACCGCTTTTTTTTACTTACGCGCCTGGTAAATAACTCTTACTGGTTTTTCGAAAAATTTTCAGAATCTTATCACATCTTAATAATACCTTACGACATGACTGATATAGTCTTGCGTAGTCGGGTTTCCGCGTACGCCATTCGTCTGCGTTCATGATAAAAGTAGCGTAGCTCATTTACTGATATAACTATACCAATGATTGTTCGCGTAAGAATAATTTGAAAAAATATGTCTATAAACACGCCATCAATCCAATGATGCATTTTGGCCATTTCGTGGTGTCAGATCCTGCTAATTTACAAGATTTTGGAAGAGACACAGAACGTCAAAAAAAGTTGGATCAACTTTATCTTGTTAAATTTCTCGAATAAAAAATGGTTGATATGTTGCTAATTTCGTTTTCTGATTTTGAAGTATATTTCTTCTGTGGGCATAAAGAAATAAAAGTATATAGAACATATCCATTGTCCATGCTCAATACAATCTTTCCAATCTGAACTGTGTTCTTCTCTGTCTCCGTGCTCATTTCAGTAAGTAACTCTCTTAGACAAATAGAGTTCTGGATATTTTCTAGCAATTATGAGATCATGTAGTCAGTTTCTTAAAGAGCCAAATTGATCAGTGTATGAGTTTATTGTGTGATCGTTTCTTAGGAGCTTCTTGACTTATATTCTATCACTATTCACGATATCGTTCGCTCAAATTTTAGTAAAAACTAGCGCGACTAATAATTGTAGAATAAATGGATAGTTTCATAGCTTGTGTGCGAAACACTTTCTTGCAAGCATAACTAATGGATTGACTGATTAAAAATTATCAGTGATCTATATCCCTTATTTTGTTACGCATGAATGGCGATCGTTCTTCCTCTATAGAAAATTGCCCAGCCAACATAGAAACAGTTCGTTGAAGACAATTAATCTAGTATTTTGTACATGAAATTTCGATAAACATCTTGTTTTTATTCGGTAAGAAATATTATAGGCTAATTTATATCGCTCAACTAGAAAGTCAGTTATTTTGAAAGAATGAACAAACACATGATATTTTTATGTTAATGATGTTAATTTATGGTGCACTAACAAAAAAATGTTCGGTCTTCTTTTATAGATTGAAAAAGTAGTTGAATCATTAAAAATAGCTGATGATGGGCTTCGAAAAGTTATGCAAATATTGGAAGATGAAATGGATGCTGGTTTATCACCGGCCACCCATAAAAATGCTGTGGTCAAAATGTTTCCCACCTACGTTCGTTGTACACCAGATGGTACAGAATCTGAACAAGTATTAGCATTAGATTTAGGTGGAACAAATTTTCGTGTTCTGCTAATTAATTTACAAGGTCGAACTAATATTGAAACTAAATCAAAAATTTTTCTTATTCCTCAAAGTATTATGGTTGGCGATGGACAATATGTAAGTTGGATGCCGAGAGTGAGAGAGAGAGTTTCTCAAAGAGTATCAATACAGAAGATTCTGGATAATGAAACTCATCCATAATAGTTACCACACAAACTGGTAACACTTTTTTCTCTTTCATTTATTCTTAGTTATTCAAACATTTGGCCGATTGTTTGCTGGATTTTATGAAAAAGGAAAATTTATTAAATACCGGTGTGCGTTATCCATTAGGTAAAAAAAAATCTTTCGTTGATGTTAGGAATTTTCAGAAATACAAAGAAACGTCGATAAATGTTATAACTTTAACAAAACTTAATCAGATCAAGTCAAAATTTTTCTGTAGGATTTGCAACCATTAATATTTGCTACTGTTTGAAACTCATGCGGGACGGCGAACAGAACGCACTTTATAACCATAATTCTGCTTTTTCACACTATTTCCAAATATTTTCGTTTATGGATTTCGATAGTAGATGCTCTAGCCGATATGATCATCCATTTATATCGAAACTAAACTCTTTCGAACGAAAATTAACTTTCTATAGGTAGGACGAGCCGTTTTACGTAGTTTCTTCTTAATCCTATTGTTCACAGCACATGACGACTCAACCTAACTCGACCCAGACACGTAGCGATATATGTTAGCTACAGGCATAAGGACTCAACCTAACCTCATCCGACCTAGATATGCAGAATTGTTGATCACTACTGAGACACAGCTAGATAGACATGTCGACCCAACCTAAGATAGACATGATTCCGAGATTTAGTGATATATGTCGACATGACGACTCAACCTGACCGAACCCGACCAAGAGATGTAGAATTGTTGAACAGTAGTCAGATGCAGCAAGCACCATAAGCAATAAGTAAAGCACAGTTGACAGTACGTAAGTTTTATCAAACACCTAAAGAGTTACTGTTTGCCAGCCTGTCAGAAACTATGCGCCAGTCATCTATTAATATATTTTCGTTCAATATTATAGGATTCACATTCTCATTTCCATGCAAACAAGAAGGTAAAAATATCAACAACATTGTTATGTTTAAAAGTCAAGTTTGTTTTGTTTTTGTAGGTCTTGCATCAGCTCGTCTAACACAATGGACAAAAGGTTTTAGTTGTGCAAATGTTGTTAATGAAGATGTTGTCAAACTGCTTCAAACAGCCATCAATGAGAAGGTTTTATTCGATAGATTCTTTTATTGGTTATTCTGTATGCTTTTTATTGTTTCTTTTTATAGAAGCTCAATGTTGATTGTGTTGCTCTTGTGAATGATACTGTCGGTACATTGATGGCTTGCGCCTATAAAGATCCTCATACATTAATTGGTTTAATATTAGGTAAAAAATACTAATTAAAAAGAAATATATCAACAGCATTCAAATATTTACTTGTTCAGGTACTGGAACGAATGCATGTTACATGGAACAATTGGATAAAGTTGGAACATGGGACGGCGATTATAATATGCCAAAACAAGTAAAGAAACTTAAAATTAATAAGTTAATATTAAATATACTTTTGATAATTGTCATACATAGGTCATAATTAATATGGAATGGGGAGCGTTTGGTGATAATAATAAATTAAATCATATAAGAACAAAATATGATGAAGAAGTTGATTTATCATCGATTAATCCTGGCAAACAACTATTTGAAAAAATGATTAGTGGAATGTATATGTAAGAAGGGCAAAATAAAAAACTTTAACTATTTTCATGCCATTGATTTTTTCATGTTGTATAGGGGTGAAATAGTAAGATTAATTATAATAGACTTAATGCAACAAGAACTATTATTTTTGGGTCATAATGAAGGATACGGTGATTATAAAGCTCCATTATATTCACGCGGTGGTTTCTATACAAAATTTGTTTCAACAGTGGAAATGGATGAAGGTAAACTGCTGATAATCATTTTCATCATTTTATCACAACTTCTTTTTGTTATTTATTGAAGGAATTGGATTTAGTAACACAAGACGTGTATTAGAAGATGTTGGTATCAGGTAAGTTTGATTTCATGAGAAGAAGACAAATATATCGCCTTATTAATTATTCTGTTTAGAAATCCAACTTATGATGATTGTGCAATTGTACAGCATATTTGTCGAAATGTATCAAAACGTGCCTCTCGATTAGCGGGAGCAGGTATTTATTTCTCCAAACACATTTGATCGAAGAAACACTAAATCTAATGTTCTCTTTTTCTTAAAGGCTTGGCTGTTTTAATTAATCGAATTAATAAGCCAGTTTGCACTGTTGGTATCGATGGTTCGGTATATAGATATCATCCACGTTTTAAACGAAATATGGAAAAATGCATGCAAACACTAGTGAATAAAAATATCAAGGTAAAAATTCATTTTCTCCTATGGACTGCGTTCTCAAAGCATTATTAGATATAGAGTGTTCGTGACGGACTAGTTTCACAATTTTATCAAAATATTTTGATAAGAATCTATTGTTACATTAGAACCTAATGAATTTTAAGACAGGTTAAAAATTTAAATTGTACGAAAAAGTTGTGCAATTTACTGTGATAGCGAAGAAGATGGAATACATACCAGTTTCTAATTATCTAAACAAACGGATTATCAGTTACATATTTTTGTGATGCTTTTTTACCTCTACATCATTGTTGATGTCTAGAAGAGCATACATGAATGGTATTTTTTTGTGAGAGAACATGATATAATATTCGACTCTTTATCTCAAATAGAAAACTAATTTATAAGTATTCTGTATCTGTCGGATACTACAGGCCGATCAATTTATTTTGAAACGATTTGCATGCAGTTTTTCTTTACAAATCGTTTCAAACAAAAAAGTTCCTTACCATACCAAACGATAGACAATTTAATTCTCTACAAGATTATATATTCATTTTTAAGACTCATCTTTGATGTTTGGCACAGTAAGTCTAATAGGAAAAGCTCCAAACTTCTCAAGTTTACCTTCAAGAAATCGATTTTTTGCGCAGAACCTCGCTAAAAATCATTGTTCAACAAAACAAGGTATACCGAAATTTTCTACAATTTGATGTCTTTTTAATGACAAACAATGAGTTTTTAGATGAACTCAGAGCGAAAAAGAGTCTTTAAGAAAGGTCATTTTCTCCTATTTTTCGGACATCTTACGAGCGTTAGCGACAACCAGTATTCCCTAGTTTTTCAGGTAAAAAAAATAGCAGATTTATTTGTAAGTTACACAGTCTAATAGAGCGCGAAATTCTGCATTTTTTGGTCTATAAACTAATGATTTGAACTTTGGATTTTATACTGAAATGGTGAAAACTTCCTTTGAGTGCTAGAAACTTCGGTGGACTTGGAAGTTTATGTATTAAAGCCACTACCAATTGAAATAAGTTTCCTTCAAGTAAACACTTTTGTAAAGCATGGGATTCTTAACCATTTGACTGTAATAAAATTATTTCAAATCTTTTTGTAGTCATTATAAGCAATTAAAACAAGAGTGCAGTTTGCACTTTAAAACTGTGTCGTGCAGTTAGCAAATTTGGAGCTTTTCCTGTTGGACTTACTATGCCAAACATCAAAGATGAGTCTTAAAGTTGAATATATAATCTTGTAGAGAATTAAATTGTCTATCGTTTAGTATAGTAAGGAACTTTTTTGTTTGAAACGATTTGTAAAGAAAAACTACATGCAAATCGTTTCAAAATAAATTGATCGGCCTGTACTGATTTTGTCTGATACTCTACTGAGTTTACACTTCACTTCACTCGAATGAAAGACATATTAAATTAATATATTAAAGCATACGCAGAGCACTTACACAAATATTCTGTTTATTTTTTAGTTCAATTTGGAAATTTCTGAGGATGGAAGTGGTATTGGAGCTGCGTTGACTGTGGCGGCCTACACACGAAAAAGTAATACAAATAAAAGAAGTTAATAAAGCAACGACCACAAATCACAGCAGAAGATCATCTTAAAGATGATGGAAAGCCAAACGAAAAAAACAATGTTATTAAATCTACTGGTCATTAAGTTTAAATACAAATGGTGATGGAATAAACGTACAAATAAAAAAGACGATTTTTTGGATGACGGTATGAAATTTTCTATTAGGCAATTCGATGGAGTCATTACTACATTTACATCAACTTTCAGTCCATAAGCTCAAACTTACTTGAATGAAAGATCCACGGATAGATCTTTAGACAGCTCGAGGGCATTTAATTTTCTAGAAAAAAAAAGAATGAACCACTGGAATTATTATTTATTATATGAACTTTTATATCCCGACGTTGGCTTCATGTTCCTCAGAGAATTCGAACTCTCAAGGACTCTTCGGTATTCCTTCGATATTTGCACCACTAGGACTTCGAATGTCTCAAAAATTTGTTTTACCCAATTATTCTGAAAAACGGCAAGGTCTACGGGAGTTTATGCTGAGTTTTCACTGATTTTTAAGTTATTGGTTTGTTTTTCTTTTCCAAAAAGTTAAATGCCCCTGGCTAAAAGTTAAATGCTAAAGGCAAAAAACCGAAAGTGTCAACATAGTTTTCCATGATGGCGATATTTTCTAATATTTTCAATGTGATATTTGTTAATCTTACCGATGGATCTACAAAATAAATTTTTACCTTAATATTTTTATTCGCAAGTGTTTCCTTGCATTTTTTAATATTTCATTCAAATAGACTTTCAGCTCATGCGACAAAAGTCGATGTGAATATGGTAGTGACTTCATGAAGATAAGCATTCTTCTTTCATATTTTCTTCTATCCTCATAATCTGCTTTTAACTTAACGCTGATACTTGGTTATAAATGAAAATGAATACTAGAAAATTATATTCTTCCAAAAAACCGTCTAATAATAAATTATTTCTATAATCGTTTGTGTGTTTTGCAATTGACTAGGTGTTGGTATTAAAGTGCCGAAATTGTTTACCTACTATAACAGTTTTGTTGTATGAATCCCTCTAATTTCAGTTCACGAACGATAATAACAGAAAGTTTCCTTATAAATACTTCAAGGTATTGAAAGAGGATGTTTAGATCAAACCCATCTTGCTTGTGGAACATTTTTTCTCAGGTAGTCGTGTGTTAATTGTTTTCTAAACACACTCTTTTTTATCTAAGCATGATGCATTCGTGAAACTAATTTCTTTGGTTGTTAATCAAGTTGTCTTCAAGGTTAAAGTTCAAGTTTTAATCTTTTGCTGTCTCATTTACCTTACTGCTCAAAAATGCATTCAGTAATGCTTTGTAGTTCCTAGGAACAGTGATTTTTTTTTTCTCACACATCTCGTCTACAGCGAACATTATTTGTGCCGACAATTTTTGTTTTTATTAAAATCGGTGTTCGTTTTTGGTTAGATCAAATCTGATCTTCTTTCAGCATGTAGTTTGTTTAATTTATATTGTTTATATTTCTTTTTTTTTGTCTTCTGTTAATTTTGCTATTATTTTAGTTTGTTTATATTTATCGTTAATTTTGCTTTTCTAAATTTTTTTTACTTGCCGTCAAACTTTTGTTTGTGTAATCAATTTTTCATCAGTCAAGTGGTTTTATTTTTACCGTAGACACCCGTCACAGAAATTCTAGCTATCTGTTTGTTAATTATGATTGTTAGCATTGCAACTTCTTTTCTACGTTTAAAAGAAATTATATAAAACAAATAAGATTCATAAGAAGTGACTAGAATCTAAGCAGAAAAATGGGACAAACGGAAGTTTATGTGCGGATTTTATTCTGCTCAATAATTGAAAGAATTTAATAAGATTCAATATGTTTGTAGTATAAAATTAAGCTCCATAGACTTCAAAGAGTTTGAAATTTTTACCACGTGTAAAACGCTAGAAAATTACATAATGCTGAAAAAAAGGAAAAGTTTTGAAGTGGATTGACAGATCCAAAACGATTTTCACTCTCATAACAAAAGCATAAATATCCGATAAATGATGCAAAGATTTTGACTTTTCAAGCCAGCCCACATTGATTTTACAGTGTGATATTAGTGTTCGTTATGAAAACTACGAAATTTGACTGGTCTGATTATGTAGTCTGTTGTTGACACTGAATGAGTAAATCAGAGATGGCAAAACCGTAGGAGCAGTGGAAACGACGTTCTCACAGATTTTAGAATGTAAAAAGTTCGGAAACGGGATACTGGTCTTCCACAACTGCAGGAATTTATTTCTTTGAATTTATCATGTAATTACTATATTTTTTGTATCTTTAACTCCTTTTTCTCGGTTTATTACAATTGTATATTTGATGAACAATAAAGAAACGAGGTTTTGTATCTTGATTCATCCCTAATTACTCATACTCATATCTGATGCGGATGTGTCAAAGTAAGATAAAAGTAGAATATTCTATGTATAAATATCGCGAAAATATTTCGATATTTATCTTCAATATTAAGTTAATTTAAATTAATTCCAAATGATCTTTATAAAGAGAATTTATTTTTACTTTAGTTTTCGCAAATTAACTCAACTAACTACTTGCAAACTAACAAATTAATTTGCAAAAAAAATATTCGTTCCCACAATTTCTAACTCATTCCGCCGCCTATTGAGTAAAGTAGTCACTATCAATCTGTTGATTATCTAATTCAACAACGCAATTATGCTGAGTAAGACTATGACCGTAAAGTGTATAGAAAAGACTTAAAATACATATATAAGGAATAGCACATATCCTAAAAATGTGAACGTTAAAAATAGCCCGACGTAATTTAAATTGAATTTTTTCACACGTTGCAATAAAAGTAAAATTGAATTTAAATTAGTGGAGATGATCAGTATCTCAAATCATATGCTATAATGCTATAACTTTTCACTGATTAAAATTATTAATCACGATTACCAATGAGTATTTTAAGAAAAAAGGGGCTTTTCATCAATTTTAAGCTTTCGTTCGAATATTTAGTAAAACTACATGTACAGTTAAGCAGAGAAACATCTCCTACTGGACTTCTTCAAAAATCTATAATATCTAGTTCACAGTACCGTATCAACATTTTTAAACCTTTTAAAAGATTTATTTTTTTATCGATATTTCATAGCATTGTTTTGTGTTAGATTTTGGAGTTTTAAGAAAAAGTCACTATAACTTCAATAATTCTAATTGAGCCTCCGTAGAAATACTAATATATTTCAGTATTCATAATATGTCAATATGTACTGTCTCATGTAAACTTAGAACTTGTTTGACACTTTTCATTGAAGTCAATTTTGGTGTATTAACGGACGTTTTTCTTCCTCAGTTTAACGCATTGCGATAATTTTTTTTCTGTTTGAATGTCATCAAACAGTAACAATTTGCTTAAAGCCGATTGTTGAGATTTAAAACAAATCACAATTGGTACATGTAGATACCTGCACGTTTTGACGTTTTCAACTCTAAACCCTTGACAGAAAACAATCTAAAGAAAAATCAAAAACGCTAAAGTAAATATTTAGTTTAAGTGTACAGATTGATTTAAAACAAATCCAACCTTTGTAACTATCATCCAGTGTGAAAAATATGCATCTTACGAACAGCTGTATTTTGACCTTTACACCATCTATAATTTTTAAATGACTAGATATTTTTAGTTTAAAATTTTTTATACAATATTCACGGTGCACTTAATTCATACCTATGATGTTGTTTAATCCATTCCTTTGAACGATTGATGTGTCAGACTTAATCGAAAAATGGCAAGTTTCTTTCATTTATCTGTTTTAGTTTCAATTGATGGTATCAGATGATGGTATGATGAAAATTATACTTATTATTTCGTTTCTTTGAGAGAAATTCTCTCTCTTTCTCTCTAATAACGATAACATTGTTTCAAATTCTAGGTAGTGGAATAGGTGCAGCAATCGTTGCATCACTGGGTAACCGTCCGATTCGATCCATTAATATATAAAGCCATTATTACATATTGAAAATGAAGATATTAAAAATTAAATGACGAATTAATATTTAAAACATGTTCTTCGTCGAGTCAATTTTTTATGACATGTGTAAGTTAAAATTGAGTGAATAATTATTTCTGTCTTTTCTTTCTGTAAATATTTATTGTTAATTTTTTTATTTTGCATTATAATTCTTTGAATGCAATTAATATGCTGAAATTTTGTTTTATTTAAAATGTTTTTTTGTGATTCAAATATATATTGGAAATAATGAATTAATGTATAGTCAGTGTTTCAATGCCTCAGGTTGATGAAACTGTATTCTTTCTTTTTTTATCGTTAATATCAAATAAATTCTTTGACGTATTGTAATTTGTTTTGGGCTTTTTTTTACATGGAGACTACCAGCACTTGACCAAAGGTGATCGTTATAATCATCTACTATTCGCAGTCCGACTCTTTTAGATATTAATAAAAAAAGGTTTTTGCGTACATATGCATAGTCATCTTCGGCTTGTTTCACTTTATGGATTATCTATGATTATGTCGACGCATATAGGATAAAACATTCCTTACGTTTCAAAACATCTCTTTACCGGAAAAACTGGATCGACTTTTGTAACTTGTAGCCATAAGTGTTACCTTCAATATAACATCGTGTCGGACTCTTTCATCTCTTCTTGTAAGCAGAATTTAGTAAAAAAATTTTCTATTTTATCTTCGAACTTTTCTCTTCCCGTTTATTGGTGAAAGGAAGTTTTTGTCTTTCGAAGGAGACGTTTTACACTTCGATTTATATCATACGAGCTCACGAGGTCGAGTCTATTTCGTGCACTTGTAGCTTCAAATGAAAAGATGGTCAAAAGTTGCAGAACGTTCCATTTAGTTAAGAAAACACTTCTTTCACAAAGTTTTAATCTAAAAACTTGATATTTGCTGAGTAACAGAGAAAAGGACTGTGTAGGAATCTAGATACGCTATATAAGTGCCGTCTGCGTCAGACTGACGATAATGATCAGAAACTCTACAGTATAATGTTTAACTCCTGATTCTTTACGAATCCATGTTAAAGTTCAAACAGATTCTTGAGAATGATTAGCAAATTTTATTGTTTATCTCTTACTGTAAATACTATGCGTGATGAGCGCGAATCTATGATCTTAAGCCATTGAAAATGAAATATTGTAGAGAAAAATATAAGTTAAGAATGAGTAACTATGAAAAAGATCTACCGGTCTCATTGTTAATAAATAATTTTGATTCAAAAGTATTATTATTAAATTTGAGACATCAAGATGAACGAACGTTAGAATGGAAAACAATGGAAAAGGAACGTCAATCAATGGCCTATCATACGTCATCAAGAGGATTTCAACATATTGAATGGTTAAAACAATCTAAATCTAGTGTTCATTCGAGTACAGTATCAAATTCTTCGTCAATAACAAGAATGCATACTATAAAACCAACTTTAACGTATTTATCTTCAAAAGATAGTTTCAAATTAACAGCTGATTTAACAGTAGAGCTACTTGCTGACGATATAGTTTTATATAGAAAACATTGGCAGAAATCAAAATGTAATATAAATGATAAAATTATTCAAAATCATGATGACTTAATATTAAAATTAAATATTTCTATGAAAAAAACGGCTCCAAAATATGAACTATCTCTATTGAAATGGTTTACAACAAACGCAAAGATATTAAATAAAAAAGTGAAATAAGTTTTTCCGATGAAAAATATCGAATGAAATTTTTAGTGAGAATCGAAATACTTATAACACATTTTTATAATTATAGGTAAGTTGACGAAAATTCAAAATTTTCAGTCTGTTTATTTTGTAAATTTATACATGATTAGACAGAGATCAACGAGCTGAATCAGAATATGTATGTTTCATTCTTTGAAAAAATTCTTTTAAGGTCAAAAATGTAAGAAAACTGATATTTTTTAAATAGTAAAAAATAGCCTAAAGTTTAAAGACAAGCAGAAAACTCTGATTTATTGTTGTTTCATAACTTTAAAAGTATTTTTTTGTTATTATACATTAAAACTGAATCTAAAAAATACACTTTTAAGGTTATTCAGATATCATATGGCCATAAAAAATTTAAAGTTTTCCCGAATGGTCAAAACTGCTCACCTGGCAAATGAATCAACTTCTGCTAGTTAGGAGACGAAGCCAGAATTTCTGTAGCTATGTAGTCTTTACATAACCAGAAAAAAGTTAAGTATCCTGTTTTTGAGAAATTTTTTCTTCGCTGAAATATAGTTGTTTCTAAGCACCTTAGCTACAACCAAGGAAACACACTCGTATTTTGCAGTTTTTGCCGTCAAACTTCCATTCTTTTTGCAAAATCAGTGTCATACTTGGAATCAGTATCAAAAACTGAATTGATGTGTGTTCCAGATTTTGCGGGTAACTTTGATTTTTTCCGAACTTTTCGACTCACCAGGGAAGTACCCCAACTGATAAATCGCTTTTTGACCCAAACCTAGTGGACTATAGATAGTCGACGATGTTGATTCTGAATATCACCATGACTGCTGTTGCTAGGCCTTCAAAGACTGGTTTTCTGGAAAACCAGTTTTCAAGAAACTCTAAAGAACAACCAAAAGCTTTTTTAATGAAGCGTAATTGTAGTCTATACATTTCTGATTAAAACGAGGCATCTCTCAGCTCTACACGACCTTTCTTTGCAAAGTTATAGGGATTTAGGGCTTTTTTTGTAAATTCTTTTTCCTTTTTCTTGCTGTAGCTCTAAGGTGACAATGAACATTTAGGGCTTTTCTTGTAAACTCTACAATTTTTCAAAGAAAGGTCGTGTAGAGCTGAGAGATGCCTCGTTTTAATCAGAAATGTATAGACTACAATTACGCTTCATTAAAAAAGCTTTTGGTTGTTCTTTTGAGTTTCTTGAAAACTGGTTTTTCAGAAAACCGGTCTTTGAAGGCCTAGCAGCAGCAGTCATGGTGATATTCGGAATCAGTATCGGCGACTACCTATAGTCCACTAGGTTTGGGTCAAAAAGCGATTTATCAGTTGGGATACTTTCCTCGTCAGATTTTTGGGAAAGAACCAAAGTTACCCCCAAACCTTGGAACGCACATCAATCAATTCAGTTTTTGATGCTGATTCCAAGTATGATACTGGTTTTGCAAAAAGAATAGAAGTTTGACGGCGAAAACTGCAAAATACGAGTGCGTTTCCTTGGTTGTCTCTAAGGTGCTTACCTATAGTGGAAGAAACAACTATATTTCAGCGAAGAAACAAGCTTTCGGAAAAAGGATACTTAACTTTTCATCTAAACATGTATAAATTTTACAAAAATAAAAAGTGTGCAAATTTTGAATTTCCCGCACCTTATTCATTTATTATAATTGAAACAATATAATGTTGGATAACATGAATCTGAGGGACAGTAAATATCTCTAACGATTTCTCGGCAAAATATCAGTAAATTTATTCTTATACGAGTTTATTAATAAACGGTTCAATTCGTTCTTGACGAGAATAAAGATATATACACAATATTGAATTTGCAGCAAATATATGCCATAATGCATGCAATTGAATCATGGATTTTGGCCAACATATCGTTTTCGTTGCATCCAAGTGACCGCAAATTGCTCCAGTTGCAATGCTCAGAATAGCAACTACGAATAGCACTAGGTTATTGCTCGACAAATACATTTTTCTGGTTCTTGCAATATAAAAAATTTCAACAATAACACCTGTTAGGATCAGTATTATTGTAATCGTTTTTTCTATACCATCATAGGATTCCGGATAGTATTTGTTCTCACTGATTTTCCATAATAGGATAGAAATGAATATAAATAATATAAGAAATACATAGATGCTTTTACGATAAACGGTTTTATTGTTCGTCGTTGATATTAACGAGGTTATTAATCGAAGTAAAGAATACATTGTTATGAATGCTACAACCGACCACATTCCAGTTAGATCCAGTCGATGTCCCCACTGACATCGACATGAATGGTTAATAAATGTACCAAATGCATGACAAATGTTAGCAAAACCATTTGTCCAAGATAATAAGGGAAATTGATGCAAGGTATTCTGATATGTACTACGTCTTTCTCGTTTATTTAAGTGATAATCGCCTATGCCTTTGAATATCATATACAAACCAACAGCAAGAAAAGTAAAATCGGATAGAGCATTCATTGGTTCACGCAAGAAACGATCTGATCGATCGTATTCACAAAAGGGAATTCCAGTCACATTTATTAGTGCTTTGGTACTTGATTCAAAATGCAACCACGGATAAGTACCAGATAAAGTATATTCCAGTATAATAACGATAGACAGGAGCAGAAAAAATATGCTTATAAACACCGTCCGAAACATTTTTTATTTAAGATTCTCTGTACTACCTTGGTTAGAAGTCTAAGATCCAGAATTGATCCTTCATAGAGGCGAATCGCAGAGATAATGAAAAACATAAATCATGTAACGTATATGCAGTGTTTGTAAAACAGAATGAAAAGTAAATGTTTACATATAGAGTGACAAGAAGATACTAAAAAAACAAGATATCTTACGTGCAATATTATTACAGTTAGCTGTAGTAAACGCGACTAAAGAAATTGTATCGCAAATCATAATCATTTTGTGAGTAGAATCAATATTGGAGTTCGATCTTTCTCTTTTCTACATAAGAGCGAGCGACAATTGAAGATTAAGCATTAGCTACATCTAAACGCAATATAAGTTTTGTATTATTTTGTATAAGAAAAATTACAGATCACAGCTTGACTGCCACGAACATCCAAAATTAATTCTGTACATTAGCAATAAAGATATAAAGATATTCAGAAGTTTCTTGTATATTTTACGGTTGTATGAAGCGCTTTTCATGCCAGTAGCAGGGTGTTCAGACTCTGACCTACATTCTAAGTTGCTCAGAGCTCTTTTGAACGTTTGAGTCCGCTGACGAGAGAACTGCACCAAGTGTCCACCGTCTTTTTCATTCATCTTTGGCTCAAAAGTAGAACTTTGTAAACTATGAAAAAACCAAGAGGATTTGTATCCACGAGTCTCTAGTCAAAAGTTATCGTCGTTTTATAGAGGTCATGAATGCACTGATAAAACACGAATTTCTCTTCAACAACATGAAGTTAGCAATTAATATTCTTAACAGAACAGTTACTAAATGACTGACTATTACGTGCTCCAAAATTTCCAGCCTCAGAGTAAATCGAATTTGAACTAGTAGACACTTTCTATCATTTTCACTTTACCATGCATGCATTTGAGTCAGATAGCTTCTCACCGACGTACCATTCGATTGATCGTACTTTTTAAAAGATTTGTGAAATTCGCGCAAACAGAATGAAATTGCAGCTGAAAACGTAATTTTTTTCTATTCTGTTCGGTTTCTCTCAGCCAGCGATTTCGATTAGGGAAGGAAGGAGGGGGAAATTACTCACCTGAGAAAAAAAATTTGCTCACTCAGAAAAGTTGAAGTCCTTTTTTCTTGTTTTTTTGGTTATCAACTAAATTTTTTTGAGTAAAAAGGATGAAAAATGTACTCAGAAAACTTTTTGGAGTTACTCTATAAAAACTTCCTCCCTTGCCAAAGTTATATCGAAAATGCTGCTCTCAGCGTTGACTTTGTTGACAGGGGATGCTGGTTGTATTATTACACCATAAGAAAGGACGAATATTTAAGAGAGAGAAGAAAAAACAATAATTACGATCAACTGAATGGTACGTCGGTGAGAAGCTATCTGACTCAAATGCATGCATCGTAATGCCCCCCTCCTTCCTTCCCTAATCGAAATCGCTGGCTGAGAGAAACCGAACAGAATAGAAAAA